TTCCACATTATTACAAATAACTTCATTTCTGGACATTTATGGTTTGATTTCTTTGTATGTATGGATCACTTGGGTTGTTACCAACATCTGATGAAAATTTCATGTCATTATCACCTCTAGTAATAYATTTACTGAGAAAAATGGTGACGTGTTCAATACTTATTTTACCCGCTGTAACTGCAAATGATTTTATAACGAGTGCTGCTGATTCCTTCTGATATTTTATCAGAGTGTAGAAACTGTAGTGGCASAGCAGGGTGTGATGGATCTTTTCTCTATGAAAATCTATTCATAGTTTTAAAGGGCAGAACAAAGTGAGAGTTGATGTCGGGGACACCCTGCAGTGCTGGGCTCGTCCTTTTATGAAGTCTAGAGCCCCACATCTTTTTCTGACTATATCACACATAGATATATGCATTGGTCTGGTTATTCTTGTAGTTTGACATAATGTAGGAACAGTAAGAGCTGATTTATTATTATTATTATTATTATTGTTGTTGTTGTTGTTGTTGTTGTTGTTGTCCTCACTTATTCTTTTAGCATTAGTCAGTTCACGGCAGGGGAAGGGGGACATTCCTCACTCAAGGAAGTAGGAAAACCTAAATATCTTTCCATCCGAGACTTTTAATTGTTTTTATAATCTTATGTTGTGTATTGTTTTTTGAATTTTTTTTGTTTTTGTTTAAATATTTGGACCTCAATTTTTTTCCACCCAGGCACGGAATTATAAACAAGCAGGATCTTTTTGTTTTTTTTTTAAACGAAATGTTAGCTCCACAGACCAGTACACAAAGTCTGTCCCTCCCTCAACTCTGATTGGTCCGTACGAGGTGTGGTTACAGCGAAGCAATCACAACTGCAGCTTGTTCTGTCACAACACTTCATATACAGACCCACAGATTAAATTAAAACAATTTTGAATTCTTGTTAGAGATTTTGTTGCGAGGCTATCGCAAGCTTTGTGTTATTTTTCTGAAACAGAGCCGAGGAGATGAATAACAGTCAGCTGGCAGAGTTGGAGGACGATATTCMGCAACAGCTAGCAAGAACAGAGGAACGGGTCAGGAACGAGGTGAGTAACATACCTGTAGACTTTCTTTTTTTTGTGAGGGGGAAAAAACATGGACAGTTTTATTATGATATAAAGTTTTGCGACTTGTAGCCAAAGTGAAAAGTTTCTAAAACGAGCCACCTACATTTTTGTCACAGTGACAGGTTACACATGKCTTCTCACAAAGAGCCTCTGTAAAGTCTGATGAAAGACCCACTTGAGGCTCTGACTCGGCCCGCGCCTCTGACCGCCTCGGTTTAATGTTTGCAGGAGCGGAAGAAAATGGAAGGAGTCATGGCAACCCTGCAGAGGAAGCACAGAGACGAGGTCACAGACCTGCATGGCACAGTTGACCGACTATTAAAGGTACGCTGGTTCTCACAGACAACGGGTATGTGTWGAAAAACATTGTTATAAGACATATTTTAAATAGACTTAGCACAAAATGTAAGGAAATTTGTGTTACTTAGATCAGGGGTT